CTTGGTTAAGCCTGATCTCTATTAAACTTGAACAAATCCACAGCCTTTTGGAAACAAAAGCATAACATCTTACCGAGCAGTATGCTCTCTGACTTCCATTTTAAAGTGCATTTAACCAGGGACTGCATTCAGCCACCCCAGCTCTAGGAAGTTAGTGCCCTGCACTGTGGCAGTCGTTTTTACTTAGCTTTTTGTTTCTACTTAATGTGCCAGCTATTAAATGTTCTGTTGTACAGCAGAATTTCTTAAAGGAGCTGAAATCTTTTCTTTCTTTCTTTCTTTCTTTCTTTCTTTCTTTCTTTCTTTCTTTCTTTCCTTCCTTCTTTCTTTTCTTTCTTTCTTTCTTTCTTTCTTTCTTTCTTTCTTTCTTTCTTTCTTTCTTTCTTTCTTTTCTTTTAGCTTTCTCAGGCCATATTGGAAATTCAGGCCTCACACTGGGCACCAAAATGCTGTTTTACCTTCCTTAAGGTGGCTGTTCTTTAAAGTACTAGTGCCCCGGACAATGGCTCTTTTGCTGCCACTAAAGGTAGTTCTACCTAAATCTCTATCATTCTAATAAAACTTGGGATTCAAAGGCTGGGGTGAAAATCTGTGTGCTCAGAGAATTAGAATAGCAACTGGCTAACCTTCTCTCTTTGCTGGTGTGGCTTACTCATTATCCTGTTTGTCCAAGGAGGAAAGGGATCAGAAAGAGTGATGGGGACTTTGTGGTACCCTAAAACTACAACAGCAAAAATCTGAATGGAATCCAGAATTGGAAATGCGATTGAATAAACTCAATGCTTCTCTACTCTATACAGTGAAAGAAAGAGAGAAAACTACATTACATGAGTGAGAGAAATGAGAGAAACAGTGTGTGTGTTGGGAGTGGGAAGAGATAATATAACTGGAAGTGAAAGTGGTTCTGAGGTTTTTTGAAACAGACCTAAATACTGGGAAACCAGCTGTTATTTTCTTAGACCAGTAAAATCTGTTTGTATTAGATAACCCAAAATTACTTACACCTGCTTTGTACAAAGTAATTTCCCCTTTGAAAGAGTAAACCATGTATTTTTTTAAAAAGTATTTAATTTTTTATTTATTTGTGTCTGTGCAAATGTGTATTCCTGTGGACATATATGTACAACGTAGCCCATACGGAGGTCAGAGGACAACTTATAGGAGTCAATGTGGGTCCTGGTGGTCAGGTAGTCAGGCTTGGTGTCAAAGCACCCCTAATCACTGAGCCATTTCTCTGGTCCTCAAGACATTTCCTGCTAAGTATTGTTACAATCTCTAGACTCGCTGTTAGATACACATTTAAGAACTGATGGTTGTGTATCAACTGCCATGACATAAATGTTCAATTGTTTATGGTTCTTACACTGAAGGACAGAGAGCAGAGTGTACTGAGAAATGTGGGTTGTATTCATGCCACTGGTTTGGACAGAAAATAGCTTCATTTAACACAATTGTAGGAGATAATAAAAGTGTTTTCTCCAGTGAGCAAATAAGAAAGAGGTAGAGTTCTTTAATAGCAGCAGTCTGGAATTGGATGTGTGGGTCCATGTGGTAATCCACTTTAAATTATTTTAGGGTGTCTTAGTAATCACTATAATAAATCCATAAATCATTGGCTTTGTTTGTGCTGCAGACATTGCTTTCATAGTTCTGTAATCTTTGGAGGACAAGATCCAGTTATTGGCAGACTAGATGTCTGCCAAGAGCCCACTTTCTGTTTATAGATGGTGGTTTTTAGCTGTGCCCTTCTATGGTGGAATGGAAGGACTCCAGGCTCTTGGTTCTCTTATAAGGGGACCTGTGTCATGGCCCAATCATTTTCATGGCCTCTCTTCCTAATGTATCACTACGGCAGGGATTAGGTTTCAGCATATTAGTTTGGTGGCTGTAAATATTCAGACCATTGCACAGAGTAGACAGCATCTTACAAGTTACTTCAAAGTCAATTCTAACTGGAGCATTAGTAAACATGTGACTCAATTTCATCCTAAATTATGACAAAATAATCATCACAGAGAGAATTCTTTTCTACATTAACAGCAAAGAGTTGGCTAATTGACCTGAGGATTGATGGAAATAATAAAGTTAATGGAGGGTGTGGTTGTTAAAAAGATGTAAACTTTCATGAACAGGGCCCATAGTAAGTAGCCTAATACTTCATGATAGTTATGTCACATCCTGTGATCTGTAGCTGTTTTAAGATATCCCTCTCTCTACAGAGAATGCTACATCTGGTCTGATGTTCACAACAGAGAAGTGGGCAAAATCTACCTGTGCCCATCTCTGAAGGGTTTTTGCTTCATGGAGGTCCATTACCAATGTGAGCATGTGGTCAAAAGCCCATCCTTCCTCCCCTAAGCAGTGCCTGCCCACATGGAAAAATTTAATTTGTTGGCACAGAGGCTGATGGAACTACCCAGCGCTGCCTCCTCAGCTTTCCTGCGTCCTTCTTTCTAGTGTTCTCAAACAAGCTTGCAACCTATTTTTGTTTGCAATAATCTACCCCCTCCTCTCTCCAAGCATAGACTATGCAACTGAGCTGTAGCTGTTTCTTTGCATTTCTAATAATTTCCCCCTCCAAACTTCAAAACACAGAAGAGGATTTTAATGAATCAATTCTGTCTGGGGTATTGAAATTCACCATAATGGGTGAGAAGGTAGCCTTAGAAAACACACTACAGACAAAGTCTGAGAAAATAGCCCAGGTAATTACGTGCAGGAATAGTAAATTTGTCTTCCTACAAAATTATTGAGAAAGTGATATAAATCGATCTGTCATGCCATCAAAACAATAATTCTTTATAAATTTTCAAATGTGTGAGAAGCCTTTGGCCTAGAAACTTCACCCACCAGATGACAAGTGCCTACTAAACGCCAACCTGGATGGAGACCAATTTAATGAGCTTTTGTTGTTTTGTTTTGTTTTTTCTTCACTGTCATCTCCTCCTGGTACACAATCAGCTACAATTTCAAGCCGATAATCCCTTCTCTGTGGCTTCATATTCCTATGGCTGGTCTGTATGGTTGGGAGACTTGATGGGGAAGCAGAGTGTCTCCCACATCCCTGTATTACTCAGTTTCCCTGATGTGACAAAATATCTGACGAAAGCAATTTAAGGAAGAGTTTATTTTAGTTCACATTTGTAGAGGATATTAACTACGACAGGGCAGGCGTGGTGGCTGAAGCCTGAGGTTCAGGCTACACTGAGGGCCAGTCAGAAAGCAGACAGGCTGCTTCTCAGCTTGCTTTTCCCTCTTCATTCAGCCCTAGACCCCAGCACAGGGAAAGGTGCTTTCCGCAGTTAAGGTGAGCCTTCCCACTGCTACTAACATAGTTAGTCTCCCACAGTCATTCCTAGAGGTTTGTTGCCTAGGCAATTCTAGATTCTGCCAAACTAACAATCAATATAAACATCCAAGTCCACCCCTTGTAAGCTTGATGCACACACATCATTTTAAGTGATTACCTTCCACTCTTTGTCCCCATATACTGATGGCCATCTTAGAGTGTAAAAATGCATTTAGTTCACACTCAAAAGTCTTTACAGTTTCAACACTACTTAAAAGTTCAAGTCTTATCTGAGATTCTATTGTAATCACTTAACTATAGGATCTTATAATATAAAGAAGAAATTGCATATTTCCAAGGTATAGTTGCATAGAATAAACATTTTTACTCCAAAATGGAAGAATGGGAGTGTAGCATGGAATGATCGAATCAAAGTAAGGTGAATACCCCACAGGGAAAACCCTAAATCCTGCAGTCCCACATAAGGCATCTGGCATGTGTGATGGAATCTTCTGGGTTCTAAAGAACCCGAGTAGTCCTGCCCCCGCAGCTCTGAGGCTGTAGCTCACATAGCCTTCCCTTGGGCTAGACTCACTCCATGGCTGTATCTTTCCTCAATGGATGTCCCACCTTCCTGGAATCTCCATCATCTCTACTTCACCCTACACATTATCTTGACAGTCTCATGCAGTGGCTTCTGGCGGCTCTTCTTTCACAGACTGATCCTGGCACACATTGCCTGCCCTCCGCAGTTCTCTAAAACTGTGCAGTAAGACTGTAAGAACTCCTTAATCTTTCATTCCTGCAAAACCAGTGCCATATGGCTGCTGCTGCCAAGATCTGTTGCTAACTTGAGATGTAGCCAGGTTCCATTGGGCCACAGCAGGAGCAACTTCTCTATGCTTTGGTGGATGGATCTACAAAATTAACTTCCAAGGTAGTTTTTCTGTTGTTGTTGTTTTGATTTTGGTTCTTGTTTTGTTTTTTAAAGCAGGAAACCCTTTCTGAGATATTCTCAGCACAGGCTTTCATCTCTCAGATGAGTTTGTATTTTTACAAGTTGGTGCCTTTCATGGGATAGGTTGTGCTTTGGGGGCTGTCCTTTTATCCTAATGAGGAGACTGGGGTGTCTCTTTCACAAGAGCAGATATGTTCATTTCCTGTTCTTGCCTGAAATTTTAAAGTTGCTTACACAACTTTGCATTGTAAACTTCATGTTTCCCATATTTTAAAAACCTCTCTCAGATCTTAATAAAAACATTCAGCAGCAGTCATTGCAAAGTCTAAAAGTGACAGTGTCTTGTAATTTCCTCCACCAAGGATTTTAGGCCATTACTTCCAAATGCACATCACAAGCACACAGGGTACCTGGGGAGAATGCAGCATGATTGTGGCCAGAATGGAGCATCAATGACCTCCAGTTCCCAGTGGAGTCCTGTTTTCCTCTGAATTCCACAGTCCAGGCCTCTACTGTATGTTTTTCTCTCTAGTTTCACCAAATGTGAACTAAATTCTGCTTGCAGCATTCCAAGACTTTCCTGTTCCAAGGTTCCAATTCATATCCCTCCTGCAAACTAGTTTGATAGGCTCAAGGTTAGGATTCTCACAATCTCCCTAGAAAATAGTAGCCTTTTCAAATCGCCCCTTATGTACCAGGGTCCTGTCAAAATCAGATTTCTCTGCACATAACAAAAGTGGCACAAAAGCTTCATAACTTTAATCAGCGCAGCTTTTATTACCAATCAGCTTAACATTTTTCTCATACTTTGTCCTGTGAAAATCTACTTGTTACTTTATACAGGAGCTCTTCACAATGAATTATCTGTATGACCAGGATACAATTGCCAATGTTTCTTCATTGGGCCATTTTTCTTTTTTACTTACATCCTTTCTAGAAAAAATTTCTCTATATTCTGACTGATTTCCCTCTGTACTCCATAGATTATGACAACGAAACTTGATGAGATTTATGGTGCCAGACCCTTATATCATTGAGCCATCAGTTTGTATTTTTAATCATGATTGTAACTGCTGATGAACTGACACTGACCCTCAACTCCAATAGTGTGGTGTCTCTTTGATTATTTAACAAATCATGGGAGTTCCAACCTCGTTTATATAACACTGGTTATTAAAGTAGCACATGTATTTTAAAAACAAGGCGTGGACTTGTTATATCAAAATAATAGAAGGCTAGTTTTTAATGAATTCCTCCCCAGGAACTCTCAGACTACTTTATAAGTGAGTGGAGAGCTGTCAGCCCCGCACCACATATTTTACCAACTCCAGGTAAAACCTTCATGAATGCATCGCCAACTGTGTCAAGGATTTGTGAAAACAGTGAGGATATGCTTCTAGTTATCTCAATCTCTTCTCTCAGTTGCCTTATTTCATTCTTTAACATTTCAGATTTGATTCTGAATCCTTCCTCCTGCAGTTCTTCTTGGACCTGTAAAAAGAAAAATCCTCCATTATTGGCAGAATTTTGTATTTAACAACTTTAGCATAAGTACATTATCTATTTCACTATCACCTCAGAATGGTCTTTGATATTTCAAGACATTTTCACCTAACAATAAAAATATCCATGGTTTGTTCATATTTAGGGAGAATTTCTCAGCATCTTCCCTTGGAGAGTGAAGAGTTTTGTCCCAATTCACAAAAATTTCGCCCTTTGAGAGAGACTGCAGAGGTGAACTGAAACTGACTCTCAATTCCAAGGAAGCATCTCTTTGATTATTTAATGATTATGGGAGTGCTGACCTTGTATAGACTGCTGATTATTAACTCTAGGATGGGACACATAGTTTCTTTTACTCCAGCTTACAAGATGAATCAAGCAGGCACAGGAATAAATAGAGCAATTTATGAGATTGTATCATGTTTTATTTTATTGTATCTTTTTATTTTATTTTTAATTTAATTAATTAATTTAACTAATCTCACTTTGTGCATGCATGTGTGAGCACATGTGTAGGTAAGTACACATGTATGTGTTTGTACATGTCTACAGAGACCAGAGGTTGTTGTCATGTATCTTCTTCAACTGTCTCCTCCTTATTTTTTATCAAATTTTTTTATATTTCTTTACTTGACTGAGTATTTTGCTTACATGTATGTGTACCATGTGTGTGCCTCCTGCCCATGGATATCAAAAGAGGGTATCAGATCTGCTGTGGGATGGTCTGTATGTCAAGTGTGTTGCTGATTGGTCAATAAATAAACCACTGATTGGCCAGTGGCCAGGCAAGAAGTATAGGCAGGACAAGGAGGAGAATAAAGCTGGGAAGTGGAAGGCTGAGTCAGAGACACTGCCAGCCACCACGATGACAAACAGCATGTGAAGCTGCCGGTAAGCCACGAGGCATGTGGCAAGGTATAGATTTATAGAAATGGATTAATTTAAGCTGTAAGAACAGTTCACAAGAAGCCTGCCATGGCCATACAGTTTGTACCAATGTAAGTCTCTGTGTTTACTTGGTTGGGTCTGAACAGCTGTGGGACTGGCAGGTGAGAGAGATTTGTCCTGACTGTGGGCCAGGCAGGAAAACTCTAGCTATAAATGGCGCCCAACGAGTTGGCAAGAGTTTCCACCTAAAACCTGAGGAAAGATTCTAAAACGGAGCTAAAAACAGCTTCCTAATTGTCTCTCTCAAATGAGTGGCAGCTGCAGGTTTGAGCTACTGGTGGGTTCCTAGCTTGCGTGCGCACTCAACCTGCAGTATGGTGGGAATGAGGCCTCTGCAAGTGGCACATTAAGCTGCATAGTGGATTTAGCCTTTGCTAGTACAAAACAAAAAAAGAGGTTTCTGGGCTACACACTGCTTGGATAAACGCATAGACCCACGATAGCTCCCAGAGCTGGCAGTAAACATACCACCACCATGTTGGGAAGCTAAAGTGGGCAGAGCCAGCAGCCACAGCCATTTCAGTCTTACAAATGCTACAGTTTAAAGCAATAGATTCACAATAAGACAGATTCAGAGGTAATAGTTTACAATGTGTGTAAAATATATGTGGGCTTCAAAGAGACAAAAAAAGGTGATATATACAGTTATATAAACAAATACATAGTTTAAAAAAATAAAGTCTTTAAAGAGACAGTAAAATTAATATAAAAAATAAGCCACGTAAGATGAATACTACAGAGAGAATCTGGATTGTGTTGTCTTTGGGATTTTTAACTGCAGAAAAACATTTGATTGTAAAAGATGTTGAGTTAAACCAATATGTGTATTTTAAAGATACCTTGTCTTCAAAATTTGGATGTAAGGATGTGTTGCTTTGGAAAGGGGACTCTGCTTTTGTTCCCACAGAAAGCCAAAGGCTATGGATTTGTTCCAGATTAAGACACATCAGGTTTGACCAGCCAAGACCCCCTGAAAGGACTTCGATGACACCATGGCCCAGATGATCCATTATCCAGAATTGTTTCAAGGCAACTGGCTCAGACGATACAGCCTCACGGACTACTCCATGATCCTAAAATTTTCTTTGTGTCCCCATAAGATACAGCGCCCCCCTCCAGCAGGAAGTAGTAAGAGAAGCTACGCCCAAATTCCCAAATTATATGTAATTTTACTTTAAGGTTAAAACCTTCCTTTTTGAAAAGAAAAAAAAAGAAAAGGGGAAGTGCTGTGGGATGGCTTGTATGTCAAGTGTGTTGCTGATTGGTCAATAAATAAATCATTGATTGTCCAATGGCCAGGCAGGAAGTATAGGCAGGACAAGGAGGAGAATAAAGCTGGGAAGTGGAAGGCTGAGTCAGAGACACTGCCAGCCGCCACAATGACAAACAGCATGTGAAGCTGCCGGTAAGCCACGAGGCATGTGGCAAGGTATAGATTTATAGAAATGGATTAATTTAAGCAGTAAGAACAGTTCACAAGAAACCTGGTACGGTCATACAGTTTGTAACCAATATAAGTCTCTGTGTTTACTTGGTTGGGTCTGAACGGCTGTAGGACTGGCAGGTGAGAGAGATTTGTCCTGACTGTGGGCAAGGCAGGAAAACTCTAGCTGCACAGATCCCCTAAAATTCTAGTTCTGAACAATGTAAGGTGCCATGTGCTTGATGGAAACTAAACCTGGGTCCTTGGCAAGAACAATAAGAGCTCTTAACACCTGAGCCAACTTTATAGTCCTGTTTTGACGATAAAGTCTCTCTTCAATTCTATTGCTAGGTGATTCTACTAGACTGCCTAGCTTTAAGCTGCACAGGTCCTCCTTTCTTTCCCCCAAATGCACAAGGGTCACTGGTACATGTCACTTCGTCCAGATTTTCTCCATGGATTCTGAAGATCTGAATTTGTTCCTCATGCATGCACAATGAGAATTTCACTCACTGAACCATCTCCCAACCCCATCCTCCTCCTCCTCCTCCTGCTCCTCCTCCTCCTTCTCTTCCTCCTTCTCCTCCTCCTCCTAGTCCATTTTATCCTGGGCTAGATCTGACACATTCACACTAGATGGCCCCACCTCATGTGTCTTTGAAGATTAAACCTAGAGTCCTAAAGACTAGTAAGTGTCAACTGCAGCACAAGAAGACCATCCTAGAAACTCAAACATCAACTCAGAACCCTGGAGACATTATTTGTACACTCGAAAGTCTAACCCTGCACAGATGCTGGGCTCTTATGCTCACAGCTTCAGTAAGACCCATGTGAACTTCAATCAAACATTGGAAGTTGAAGTTACATGTTTGAGATGAACAGTTCCATTCTTGGGGAGTCACAGCACCATCTGTCTGGCACTGATAAGCCCCATCATCCACACTCACCTTCAGCTTGTGCTCCAGCATCTTCTCTTGCTCTCTCAGAAGCATCTCCCTTTCCCTCTCCATCTTCTCCTGAAGTTTAGCGATGTTTTCTTGGAAGCTTCTCTCTTGAGCTTTCATCACTTGCTCTTGCTCCTTCTCTTTCTGTCTCAGCAGCTCTCGTTCCTTCTCAGCCACCTCCCTCTTTGTCTGCTCAGCTGTTCCACAGATGTTTGAGAGAGGAAAGAAATCCCAGTTAGAAAGTAGCTATGCTCCCCTGGGCTCACAGGGAAACCTCTGGGTACTCCCATCAGCCAGGCCAGGGGCAGCATGGTTCCTAACACAATGGAAAGGACATATAACAGAACACCAACACTGCTGGTTATTTGCAGATCTGGGAGAGGTCATGACCCCTGGCAGGAGGAAGCTCCTTGTTCCAGAAGGATCTACCTGTGCATCAGTCATGGGGCTTTGCAGAATGTACTCACCCCTCTACCAGTTGGACCCTCTACCCTACCTGCTGTGGCCCTCTGTCCATCTGTAAGGGCTTTGTCTGACTGCAGGATGGAGTTCTCTACAATAGCCTGTGACTGTAGGAAGCTCTTGAGAACCTCTTTTGCCTGGGGACCCAAAAAGAGAAAATAAAATTCAAGGAGTAAGGATTAAGTCTCCTGCTAAGGTATATTGATTAATAAAACACCTAATCTTTTGAGTCCTCTTCTTACAATGTCACTTTAGTTTCATGACCATAACAAAAAGTACAAGCTCTTCATTGATACAAAAACCCTCTGCCTCAGACTCCTTGCTAACTTCACAGCCTCCCTTCCCAGTGATGCTGCCTACCAGCTGCCCCAGGTTATAGCTGCAGCCACAGTTACATGCAGTTCCATAGACACGTAGCCTCCATTGTTTGCCATGTTTGAATATATTTTGTTTCCTATCTTCATGGGTTTTTCAGGTTTTATAGAAAAGACAACATATGCAGACATGTCACTTTGTATCTCAGATGGCTTATACTGGTATTTCTGGCTGGTTTCTTAGTTTTCATATATCTAGCTTTATTGTGTTATTATTAACAAAGGAAAACTGTACTTGTTTAAGGTACGCAATGCCTTAATCTATTATATATTATTAAGTAGTTAATATAATAAAAAATGTATGTATCAGTTGCCTCAAACTACTTTTTTTTTAGCTTTCAGATATATAATGGATTATTCTATATATAGTCACCATTTGACTTTCAAAACTAATATGTCTTATAACTATATGTTCATATCTCTTGACCAATGTCTTCCTTTTCTCCTATTCTCAGGCATAGTAATCACCATTGTATTCTATGTTATTGTGGCAGTTTAAATGAGAATGGGCACTTTAGGCTCATACATTTAAATGTTTGGTCCCCATTTGGTAGAACTTATTAGGAAGGATTAGGAGGTGTGGCCTTGTTGGACAAAGTGTGTCACTGGAGGCACGCTTTGAGATTCAAAACACCATGTCTGTCTCAGTCCCTTTCTCTGCTTGCTTCCTATGCAAAAAATAGGAAGCTCTCACTTACTTCTCCAGTGCCATGCTTGTCTGCTTGCCAACATGATGACTATGGACTACTGCTCTAAAACCATAAGCAAGTCCCCAGTTAAATACTTTCATTTGGTCATAGTGTCTCTTCACAGCAATAGAACAGTAATAAGACAGTTAGTATTAGTTTATCTTTGTTTGATGTTCACTTTCTCTCTCAGTAATGCCACTGAAAGTGAGCCACGACATGCAGTATTTGTCTTTGTGTGCCTGGCTTATTTCCATGAACATGATGTGTTCCAGATTCATTCATATTTTCACAATTGGCAGCATTTTTTAAGGTTGAATAGTGATTCATCATACTGATATGAAATCGATGACAGATAGAAGATAGCTAGCTAGCTACCTAGATAGATAGATAGATAGATAGATAGATAGATAGATAGATAGATGATAGATAGGTAGATGATAGATAGGTAGATATAGATATAGATGACAGATAATAAGATAGATAGATAGACAGACAGACATAGATGATAGGTAGATAAGATAATATAACATAATTTTATTAGTTAGTACTCAAACAAGCATGATACTGGCATAAAAACTGACATATAGACTAATAGAAGAGAACTGAGAGCCTAGACAATAAAATTCTTAAAACAAAAGTTAGGAGAAAAGTCATGTGATGGTGTTTTAGATTTGACACCAAAAGCATAGGCAAATAGATGGGTGAGACTATAGGCCACTATACACTCTCTGTACAGTGAAGGAAACATTTGATGAAAGGAAAGGGAATACATAGCATGAGAGAAAATGTTTGCAAGCCATAGACTGATACGGAGTTAAAATATGAAGAAGATGAATAATGTACACAAAACAATAAGGAAAACTCGCATGCTTAAAATAACATGCAATTGCCCTGAAAAGATGGTTTTCAAAATAGGAAATTCAAATGCCAACAGATATTTGTACTCAGCATTACTAATCCTTCATGACATAACAAAACAAAACCACAATGAGGTGTCTTCTCACTCCTGTGCCCATGCCTACTATAACAAGCCCAACAGTTTTGGTTGAGTTGACAAAAACCTTTGTAGATCTCTTAGTGCAATGGAATCTGGTTAGAGTCATTGTGCACAACAGCATAAAGATTCCTTATAAAACAGAATTCTGAGATTCTGGTGACTTACCTGCCAAATCTGCCAATGAAGAGTAGTGTGGTCCCAGGCAACATGTTAGGTCCCTCAAGCATTACACTTGTTCAGTGCATAAGAGTGGAAAGCACAGCCACTTAGTTTATATCCTGAAAACTAAACTGGTAATCAAATCACCTGAAATGACTCCTGGCTCCAGAACTGAATGCTTAGTGTCTGCTAACCATGAACTCACCTTGCTTAGTTCTACCAGTACATAGTAGTTATCCCTCTAGCTAAACTCTGTCAGCCATTGCTTCTGTCATTCCTCACCTTCACTCCCTTCCTGGGCACTTGCTCATAGCCCTGCTCAACCTTCTCCCTGGCCTCTATGTAGAGGCTGTGCCCACCAGGTACAGAAAAATCTCCACTTGAGACACTCTCCTTCAGGGCCTTTGCCAGCTTCTCCAGCTCAGCCCGGCAGTGACTGAGAGATGCTGATTCGTTCTGTTGCATGAAAGCATCCTTCCTTTCTTCTATGGTAGCCTGCCAGGTGAGGAGGGGAAGACAAAACAAAGAAGTTGTTAGAAGGAAGGTATGGTGGTTTGCAAGAAAATGGCCTCCATAGGGAGTGGCACTATTAGAAGGTGTGGCTTGTTGGAGTAGGTATTGCCTTGTTGGAGAAAGTGTGTCACTTTTGAGGTTGGCTTTGCAGTTTCGTATGCTCAAGAACCCAGTGTCACAGTTCACTCCCCGTAGCCTGTAGATTAAGATGGAGAACTCTCAGTTTCTTTTCAAGCATCATGTTTTCCTGCATGCTACTGTGCTTCTCACAATGATGATAACGGACTTAACTTCCGAAATTGTGAGGAACCCTCGATTAAATGCTTTTCTTTATAAGAGTTGTCATGGTCATGATGCGTGTTCATATCAATAGAAATCCTAACTAAGACAGAAGGTGCCACTGGGATTGTCCTGGATGAAGCAATGAGACAGCCCCAGAATGTACTGGAACAGAAGGAGGATCAGGAGATTTGCTTTAGTCCCACCATGGTCAATTCTGTGTGACTTCTGAAAAGTCTGTTAACTTCCTTGTGTTCATACCCAGCAGCCATGAAATCAAGTTGGAAGACATAAGTCCATTTCCTCTGAGAATGGGGGTTGGGGTGGCAGATGAAGCAGTTTTCAGAGCTGAGGTAAGTGTACTTTCAGTGGAGTTTTGAACCCCTATGAATTTTTGCAATGATTACTTGAGTGTCAGGATGCTAGAACAGGTATATTTTGTTTCTTTATGTGTTTGTTTGTACTCATAAATGATAATCCTGATAATTTCCTCAGTGTGAGCTTAGAGATTCTAGTCTTTCAGGGTTCAAATTCAGAGAAATGGAAGACCAGAAACTCTAGGGGAAGCTGCCTTTGGGTTGGTAAGTCATGATACTCCCCTGAGAGTTGTTTCTTGGTGTCAATGCTTTTATCACCCAGGGCTAGTGAACGTGGTGGAGAGTAATCCTATGGTGACATTATATTACATAGTACAGGGTGATCTAGTCACCCAAACTCTTCAAAATGTAAGTTTTGTCTGACTGTGGCAGGAAGAGAAATCAGAACATCTAGAAACAAGAAAAGGAGCCAGTGCTTTCTTGTGTGCTGGTAAGAGAGAGGGCTTCCCCCAGGCCTACAGATGAAAGCTAAGTCAGTCTGGCACCATGTTTTCTGTTTGTAGTGCATTGAACAGAGATCTGCACACCCTTGCTTCCTCTCTGCCTTGAACTTTGAGCTAATAAAATGCATACTGTTTCAAAGTACTAAGAACTTGATAGCTTGTTTCATAGCAAATGCTATTTTTCCTAGAAAGGGTAAATTTTAGTCCAAAGACTGGAGTTACCCATTTAAAATCCAAAGAGAAAGATTCAGACCATGAGATCAAAAAAGTGGAGTCTAAGGTTGATAACAGAAAGGCAAGGATCAGGCAAGCTAAGTGCTAAGATTTGTTACCACCAGCCTCCTCTGGAACTCCTGCTCATCATCCTTGAAGGAGTGCTCCATGAAGACAGCAATGGCTTTCTTCTCACAGGCTGTGTGCACATCCAGCAGCTCCTGGAGCGTGTCTGTTGGGAGCCTCAGTTGCTGGACCATCTGCTCATTGTAGTAGTCAGCTGCCATCTGCACAGCTGTAGAGTTCTCAATCTGGGCCAGGGTCATCACTGCATTCTCCAAACAAGGCACAGTTCCACAACTGATGGCATCCAAGTAGGTCTGCACCAGAGTCCTCAGTCCTGAGAAAAACACCATCAAGAATGAGAAAGTTCTCATTAAATGGCCAAAGAGAAAACTTTCTCCTCCCACCCTTCTTTTTATTGTTGTTGGGTGTTTTTTGTTGACCTTCCTTCCTTCCTTCCTTCCTTCCTTCCTTCCTTTCTTCCTTCCTTCCCTCCTTTTTTTTTTTTTTTAGTGGTGCATGCTAGTAGTCCTATTTCTACACAATGTAAATGGGTCTATGCAGAATTTTTTTTTTTGTACAACAGCTGTAGACTAGCTACGACATCTAGGTTCCCCATATCTTTGCTGTTTGTAGGCCTGAAAGCACCACATTCCAGGAACCAGTTATCAGGCAAATCAGAACAGCTTTAGGTCCTTCCTATGCAAGAATTCTCTATGAGTACACCCTGTACTTCTTTGTTTCTATAGTTGGTATGAATCATGGATTTTCTTCTTTTTCTTACATTTCCATTTACATGTTGAATATGTGTGTTCATTTATTACTTGTTTGTTTGTTGAAATAGTCTGAAGTTTCTCTGACTTCCCTTAACCTTGATATATAGCCAATGATGACATTGTATTTGTTTTTGATTCTCTTGCCTCTAACCCTGCAAAACTAAGATTACAGGTTTTCACAGTCATAATAGTTCATGAGATATTGGAATCAAATCAAGAAATTTTTGAATCTTTGTAAACCCTTCTACTATCTGACCAATATTCTTGGTCAGGAAACAGCATTTATGCATGTTGTTCCTTATTATGAATATTAGGGGAAAGTCCACATTGAATTATTCAAAACAAACAACTTCACCCACTCCAAAAATCAATTCTTCCTCCCAATACTACTATCTCAATAAACAATACAACATTAAAGAAGTGCTGAGTTTCAATCTCAGGGGACATATTTAGAGATACCTATTAGTCCTATCACACTCTCATATTTCAATATAATGAAAAATTTTGGATTTGACATCAAAATATAATAGCTTCCATCTCACTCTGACAATTTCTAATTACATAATTTTAGCCTAACCCAATGACCATTTAATTCTACTCCATTAAACAGAGAGTTCATCTTCTCAATCTCTCCCTTTTGGAACTTCGAAGTATTATGCATAATATATATATATATATATATATATATATATATGTATATATAATATTAAAATACATATATAAATCATAATCCTTCCCACAAACCTTGGAACCAGCTGTAAATTCCTTAAGTCATGTTTCTGTTCTATCAAGACATCACTGCTCCATCCTGACTATAGTTCCACACTTCTCCAATGAGAGACACTCTCATGCATTCTCTTCTTTTAGTCACATAACTCTTTCTTTCCTGAAGTTGAAAAGCTGTGTCCTGTCTTAGGCCTTACTCTATTGTATTAGTTCTTCATGTTGTTTTTTGGTGACTTTCAGGTAACTTCTTCATTAGTAGGGAACCATGAGCAAAGAGAAATTTTTTCTAGGGCTTCATTAGATTCTAAAGACCCCTCCTCCATGCTATTACAGATATGAGATTATGAGAAATAGATTTAGTTCCCAAGTAAATTCCATCACTACATTTTTAACAACATCAGTTAATGGTGTTTGGTCTGGCTGGAAGTGGCTCCCTCAGTATCCCACAATGAGCAGAACATAAGCCCAGGTAGGAAGTAGAGGGGATGACTTACGTGGCCCGTTGACTAAGATGCCACCAGACAGAGTCTTGACACCAGAAGAGCTGAAGATATATGAGGTGAATTCTGCAACTTGTTTTACAAAGTCTGCACTCAGGTCGTCCTCTGAAACTGTCTCTAGTTTAGAAAGTTGCTTTGTTGGAGCAGGCCTTTCGAAGACGAAGCACTTCCTCTTTGGGAAGAACTTCCTGATGCATAGCCGAGGCTCATTAAACCTTTTAGTTTTCTTATCAGTTCCTTAAGGAAGGACAAGTGAGATACAGGAAACTTCAAATTAATCACTTAAAATACATGACCCTTCCAATATTATAACTTTCCCAAAGCAAGGAGGAAAATCACAAGGTGGAATGAGCAATTCAAAAATTAAAGGAATAGGAAAGAAAACACCCTTTCTCTAAGAAGCTGTGAATGGTACAGTTTAAGTTCAGCCAAGCTGTGTTTTCATTTCCTATAACAGCAGTGAGGATAGCACAATTATAGGATCAAGAACTTTACCAGGAATGCAGAAGTGACCTTCATGCTATTGATATCATTATATCTCAAACTTCCTTGAACACACTCACCTTTTCTCAGAGCCAGTGAACTCTTGAGGTAGTCATCAGGAGTGATAGAATCTTCATTAACTTTCAGCTCCAGAGAGAAATCCCTCAGGGTCCACACAAAGGTTGGAAAGAAGCCCACAAAGTTAGCTGAATCATCTATGTCACTCCGCTCAGGTGATGACTTTGATTTGATTAGATCAGTCAGCTCTGTCACATATCTGGCATGCTTAGTTAAGAAAACTACAGGAAAATGACATTTTTATGCTATAGATTCCACCACTAGCCCTTGAAACTAACTTTTATTTATTTGTTAGCTTATTCATTTTCAAAATTCACTCAGTCACAGATATCTATTTAATATTTTCTAAGGAACTAGCACCCTCCTGGGGGAAAAAATTTAGAATTAGTGAGAGAATGACAATACACAGAGTTTACGTCTAACTGAAAGAGACAGACAATAAATGGGTGAATAAAGTACAAAAATATCCTCAGATATTGCTATGAATTATGATGCACAAAAATGAACTGGTGGCCCATGAAATAGTAAATCAATGTACACATCTTCATGGGGAGCTTTCTCGTGGAGTTCTTCATAGAGCTACTAGTGCTCTCTGAGATCCTAGGTTATCAGGAATCCAAACAATCAACAGATCCAACCATGGGAAGTATAGTGGAAGAACATTACAAACAGAGGTCACAAAACTTTTAAGCCCTTAAACAGGAAACCATGATTATATGGTGAGTTTAAAGGGGCAAAAGTTCCAAAAGACAGACATGTAGGACATTTAAGTTAGACAGACCCAAGTCTTCAGTTTGATTTGCACTAAATGGAAGGCACTGGGAGACTTTATGTAGACAAGATATGATACAGCATAATTTCTGAAGAAAACACTGGTTGGGAATGTACCTGGGAATCAAAATTATAAGCAAAGTATAATATGGCAGTTGACATGTCCAAGACAAGAGACAAAAAGAGCTTAGACTAGAGTTTTTTGTAGAAGATATGTAGAAAATATGTCAGTCTAGGGAAATAGGTTTCCTAATGAAACTCAAAACTTTTGTGGAATAATGATTTCTAGTGTATGAGAAAACGGTTATATCAAATAGTGATTTCTATGTTTTAAATCGGAGAAATTTTGCAAATGGTGGGAAATTTTAGTGCAATAAGAAACATGGAGGAAGGAGAGGTTTTGTAAATTTTGAATTTGAATTGTCTCTAAGATATCTACATGAATACAGTTAAATGTAAAAGATGGAATGTCATCATAACTATAAACTTGATGGCAACTGACAGACAGGTGTTTCATAGGCCTTGAGTCTAAATGGCAGCACCTAGAGACACAAAGTAACACAAAGATAGCAGAGGCACAGCAACTAATGAGTTACACACTTAGAGGCCACAAAAAGAAGAGAACACAAACAGAAAAAGTTTGCTGATGTGATAGGTAGAACACCAGAAAACTTTGAAACTCTACATCTAAGATCCAAGTCATGAAGAAAGGAGGAAGAGCTCAGTTTATGGCGTCTGCTAAGAGATCAAATAATACAATTGCCTACTAGATAAGGAGTTAACTGAGCTCGATATTTGATGTTAAGGCCATGGAAATGGAGCAAGCGGTGATAAGGACATAGATGAAGGCCTAAGGATGGCAACAATCAAAGAAGGTGAGGGAACAGGGATACCCCATGTACATGAGTGTCTTCTGGTTTCTAGTCTTTAGAAGTTAGTCAATTTTAAAATTTTTGCCAAAAAAATGTTACGGTGACTGGTTGATTAAAAAAAAAAAAGACTGGGCATAAAGATGCCATGCTCTGAGTGTCCATACTTCAGACACTCTGCTCTTCTTTTATTGAGGTAAGAACGAGAAATAGCTGCAGAGTCTAATATAGGAGAAAGAAGCATGCTTGTCTTTTCTAGAGTTCAATAACATGCAAAGTGTGAGCTCAAACAAACAAACAAAAACAGAGATACAAACAAACAACGTCTCAGAGCACCTGAGAGATTTGCAGATGTTACCTGCAGCACATAGATGGGTAGTTAAATGGTAATACTTAGAGGAGCTGATGGGAATGATGATTTCCAGGGACAGAAGTTTTAACTGATGTTGAGGAGCTGAACATGCATAGGATATTAATCAAGACATGGATTTTCTGAGCAGTATGTAGCTGATTTTTAAGGCCATATGGGCCAGGAAAGCTTGAACTTGTGATGGAGACTAAGGTAAACTCAGATGGTAAGGAGAAAAGGGTTATCTAAATCCCTCAGTCCTTACCTGCCAGTCTATCTGAGGAAATAAGAAGCTGCACTTCCTAGGTTTAGTACTGTTCTAGACACACTGAAAGGATACTGTAGTTGGTCCATGGCCTGCTGGTTGATGGTTCCTATGCTGTTGTAGATGAAGGTGCTGCTGAGGAGGACTGCCAAGGCAAAGATCCAGCAGTCATTCTGGTTGTCCCCCTGCAGGTCAGTGAGTGAAGAAGAGTGACTAAGATACTGTCCAGTTATCTGGCTCCTATTAGCCATGGTATCAATAGTAAGTCATTTCTACTACATAATAACTTTCTACCTTATAATTATTATATGAATGTTCAATTCATGCTCTATAATTGAAATAAGATGATGTACACTCATGTATATGAGAGCATGAAGGACATTCACACTTACAGGTCATAATGTTGATCAGTTGCTAAAATCTAAACTGGCATGCTGGGTTTTACTCACAGAATATGTTATGGTAAGGGACTGTCTTAGCATTTCTAGTGCTGTGAAGAGACACCATGAGCACAGCAACTCTTATAAAGGAAAGTATATAATTGGGTGGCTTACAGTTCAGAGATTCAGTCCATTATCAAAATGGTGATACATGGCAGCATGCAGGCAGACATGATGCTGGAAAAGTAGCTGAGAGTTCTACATCTTATGCTAGCAACAGGAAGTGGTCTCTGACAATGGGTGTGGTTCGCATATATCAGACCTCAAAGCCTGCCTCCACAGTGACCCATTTCCTCCAACAAGGCCACACCTAATCCAAAAGCAACACCTCCTAACAGTGCCACTCCCTTTAGGGGTGCATTTTCTTTCAAACCATCACAGGGACATTTTAGCACTGGTGAAAATAAGGTCCTTTAATAGAGTTTTATGTCTCTCAGACTGGGAAGAGTAGTAATGTGATCCTCCGTGAAAAATGATGTTATTGCAAAAATGTGGTGGTTTGAAAGGAGAATGGCCTCCATAGGCTCATATGTTTAAATGCTTCGTCACCACGGGTGGAGTGGAGAAGTTTGAAAGAAACAGAAGGATTAAAAGATGTGGTCTTAGCCGGGCGGTGGTGGCACACGCCTTTAATCCCAGCACTCGGGAGGCAGAGCCAGGCGGATCTCTGTGAGTTCGAGGCCAGCCTGGTCTCCAAAGTGAGTTCCAGGAAAGGCGCAAAGCTACACAGAGAAACCCTGTCTCGAAAAACCAAAAAAAAAAAAGATGTGGTCTTGTTGTGTCACAGTTGGTGGGATTTTACGTTTCAAAAGTTCAATGCAGGACTAGTCTCTGTCTCTGTCTCTGTGTCTCTGTCTCTTTCTCTCTCTGTCTCTTTCTCTCTGTCTCTGTCCCTGTCTCTGTATCTCTGTCTCTCTGTCTCTCTGTCTCTCTCCCTGATGCTTATGGATCAGGATGTAGCTCTCAGGAGTATTCCAGCACCATGCCTGCCATTTCTGCTGCCATGATGATAATAGACTAAGCCTCTGAGACTGTAAGCAAGGGCAGAGCTAAATGTCTTTTTTAGAAAATAATAGTTGCCCTGGTCATGATGTCTGTTCACAAAAATAGAGCACTACCTAAATTTTGTTTTTCTCTCATTAATAATGTTGTATAGAAGTTACAAATCTTAGCATTCCCACAAGCTCACACCTAAGAATCAGACAAGTTCAGAAAATGTATAGTCAAGTTTGGAGACACCATTAAGAGTCTCACCAAAGATTTGTGTGATAATGTAAAAGAAAAATGGCCAAAAGTATCGTCAGTTCTTATTCTGAAGGCTGATTGACTACTAATCAGTTGACTTTAGTGTCTACTTTTGCTTCCTATGTCAGGTGAGTTGAAGAATGATATACTGATTTGATTCACCAAGGGAATAAATAAAAGATTGAGAGTAAAGAATCCTAGGTGGGCTACTGATGCATCATGAGTGGAACTTGAAAGAGTATGTTGTACCTTCTCTATATCTCCCAGGCCCTCTGTGTCAAGTAGAACCAGAGTGTGTCCTGGCTTCTCGGGATGGGGCACACACCACATCCAGATTCCCTTGGTGTGAGACTGCACCGTGGAGCCCAGAGAGAAGCCTGCAGAGTGGGGATGAAACGAGGAGATGAACAGCACATGCTTCATGAAATCTCATTGGAATTAACATATTTACCATTTACAGGAGGACAACCAGTTACAAAAATTGGTTTTAATTGCAAGCCTAGCAAAAGAGAGGGCAGAACATCCAATGCTGAACAATCATTCATTTCTACCTTAGATATCAGTGGACGCTTGCCCTTCCTACATGAACATTCTAATAAATATCTTACAATTATTCAAAAGTAAGTTGATTTTCTCTATGAATGTATTATTTCTTCTATTAAAACACACTTTTACCTTTAAATGAGGCAGTAATGGGAGTATAGGAGGAACCAGTGAGAAAACTAATTCAGAGAAGAAAAAGTCTTCTGATGGATACAAGCCATCCCACATCACCTATATCTCTGATTTTCCTCCTCATCTCTGCTTGCTTGATACTGACAGTGCGAGTGGGCAGGGTGGACTCAGCAGAGCTTTGCTGGTGGCACTCACCATTCTGTTTTCCAGCCAGCTTGTTCATCAGGTAGGATTTTCCTGTGCGGTAGAGGCCCACTATTGCTACCACCACCACAGGCTGCTTGATACCAGACAGGATATCCAGTGCTTCCTGGTTGGCCACCAACTGCTGGTCAATGTTCTCAATGAGGCACACTGGGCCCGGCATGTTGATTTCTGAAGCCATTTCTCTAGTACTCTTAAGTTTGCAAGAAACACGATGAAACAGGAAAAAGTTCTGTGTAGGTTAGAAGAACTCAACTCAATGGCATGGACCTTAGGTGCATTGGTGGCATGCATACCTTTTGGGGGAACCTGCCCAACTACCTGAGGGTAGTAAGGCCATGGATCTTGGAGGAGATCCAGCTACTGCCACTTACTAAACCAGCAAAATTCTTAACTACATTTAAAATATTTATTCTTATACCATAGATAAATGCAGCTCTCATTCCTCATCAAAGAAACTTTTCATTGCAACAGATGGAGATCGTTACAAAAACTACAACCAATCAAAGCACAGAGAACAAATGATTATTTGGTAACCAGCCCCAGTTGATACATTTGTGACATAACTCCTGCACCTAAAACTCAGAGAACATCATGGACAAGGGGGAAAATGGGTGAAAAGATTTAAGACTCAGAAAAACATAAAGTCTGGTGTGACATTAAGGTTCCTAGAAATCTCAGGGAAGCTACAAAGTCTCAACAACTTAGCTGCCTAAACAAGACCCAAAGAAATATGACAGCAATAGCTAACATCAAAGGGGAAAAAAATTCATGATGCCTGAACTCTAAACAAAGCATTAGAGGCAAGTAAGGAATGCTGAGATTGGGATAGTCTTCCGCATGCAAGAACTGCCCAGATGGTTATCCAATACCAAGTGGTCAGTCCTGAAATCATATACATCCAAGTAACATTACAGAGATGAGCAGATTGTGTTTATATATTGAGGAATGTGTGTGTGTGTGTGTGTGTGTGTGTGTGTGTGTGTGTGTGTGTGTGTCTGTGTGTCTGTGTGTGAAACAAGAATTAAAGAAAAAGAGGCCATGGATTTGAGAGAGATCAGGGGGTGATTCACTAGAAAGGTTGTTGGAGAGAGGAAGGGAAATAATATAACTATATCTTAATTTCAAAAATATTATTAAACATAACATGCAACAAAATGTTCTATACTTGGAATGTGTTCTTTGTATATTTTTAAATGTCCTAGAGGTGTTTATGGCTGTCCTAAACGTTAACTGCTTTCATTTAAAGCTGCTTTGATTTTAAAGTCCATAGATACCCAGGAGAGATGAACTGTTTTTGAGTTCTCACATAAGACTTTCCAAGTCTTAATGTTTTCTGTAATCACAATAAAATTGTAGAAACTAGAATTGAAACATTTTATAATATCTTAATGAACCTGCATACATTAGACCCCCATTTTTTAAACTCAGCTTTCAATTATTTTCTTTTTCCTTGCTGCATGATTTAATCCAGGCTCCCTCATTAATTACCAGTTGTCTCACTAGCTTCCTCTCATCTTCAGGGCTTTTATTCTTTAACATTGCTTGGGAATTTTAAAAGAGTGTAAGCCAATCATCTTGTAGAATACTGCTCACTTTTTGTTTTTCTTATGTCTGTCCAATTTTGGTTTGTGATGTGTTTATTAGTCTTATTTATTTGGCAAGAAGGTCACAGAATTGATATGCTGTCATCTTAGTTACGATTTCTATTGCTGTGATGAAACACCATGACCAAAAAGCAAATTGGGGAGGAAAGAGTTTATTTAGGTTACACTTCCACATTGCTTTTAATCACTGAAGGAAGTCAGAATAGGAACTCAAACAGAGAAGGATCTTGGAGGCAGGAGCTGATGCAGAGGCCATGGAGGGCTATTGCCTACTGAATTGCTTCTTCTGGCTTGCTCAGCCTGCTTTCTTAAGAACCCTGGACCACCAGCCAAGGGATGGCAGCATCCACAATGTTCTGGGCCCTCCCCCATTGATCACTAATTGAGAAGATGCCTTACAGCTGGATCTCATGGAGGCATTTCCTCAATGAGACTTGTTCCTTTCTGATGACTCTAGCTTGTGTCAAGTTGACACATAAAACCAGCCAATATGTCTGCCCTCCTCAGTGATCAAAAGAAGGCTTTTGGCCATACAGTCTCCTGTAGTTGTTAATGGACTAAAGTTCCTACCAACAATTAGAAAATAATTCCCTTCGAATGATGGCAGCAGAGAAGCAGAGCCTCCTGCCCAGCCCTGCTTGGTAGGGCTGTGCCCTGGAGAGAGTCTGGAATGAGAAGGGGGAAACACTGGAGCTAGAAGGGGTGCAGCATGCCTGTGCATTGCCTCAGAAATCGGCCCCCAGAAAGAGATATGTTTCAGTCCCAGGAAAATGCTGGCCAATCCTTGAAACTGGTGTGACATTCCCTTAAGAGCAATGGACTCCTAGTCACAGGGTGGAGGAAGCAACGCAAGTCTGGTAAGGGAGTTCCTAGAAACCCTCAACAGTATGTGGAACTGGTGTGGGTTGGATTGGAGCAATGAGTTCCAAGCCACAGAGACAGTGGAATTAGAAGCAGAAGTTTGGTAAAGAAGTCCAGTGCAGTAAAGATGTCCAGAGATAAGAGATTTCAACATTCTCTACCCAAGTCCTGGCAAGGGGAGCTATATGGGTTCCAGAAAGTTTGAGACAGAACTTGCTCATGTAGGATCCTGATACACAGACTAAGCAAAACACTGGGGATGGGTTCTACTCCAACCAGAAACTTTGACTGAGAATCTAGTGCCTTTCATTTTGTTTTATTTTTCATTTGTGCTTATATCTTTTTACTCTATAATTTATTATTACATTTTAAAATTTTATATCCACATATACAGATATAAAAGATAATAGATACATTTCTTTGGAATTTTTTTGTAACTTGATTACCTTCTGCACCCTCAGGTTGCATGTGTTGTAACTTGTATCTTGGGAAAAAAGTTGTGTCTTCTTTTCTCAAAATGTGATGTAGAACATTTTCTCTCTGCTTTTCATATGTGGTGTAGAACATTTTCTCTCTGCTTTTCATGTGTGATGTAGAACATCTTATCTCTGCTTTTCTTGTGTGAAACCTATTGCTTTTTACTCATTCTTACTCTATTTGCTATTAGCCCATTCACTGGTCACTATTTAAATACATTACATTTTCTCCAGGCAGGGTCCTGCACTGCTCTCTTAAATCCCCGTCATCAAGAACATAATGAACACAGTGTCTCTTCCTGCAAGGAACAAGGAAACATTCACAGTGGGTGCTACTTTTGCCCTTAATCTAAACCTAAGTCAAGACAAGCTACCAGAGATTCACATAAATTTTTAAAGTGGAAACAGAAAAAACACAAACCAGAGAAAACCTTCAATTGGTACAAGAGACAGAGACATCAGAATGACATCAGATCTGTGAGCAACTCCAAAATCCAAGGGAGCATGAAATGAAAGTGTTTCATGCCTTGACAGTAAATAATGGACATCCAAAAGTGCTACAGTTATCAATATTTCTGTTAAAAATGGTGGAAAATACAAGTGTTTCAAGACAAACACAAGTTCCACTAAGTCATGGCAACTAAGCTGGAACAGCTGAAAATTCTTAAAGGAGTTCTATCACAGAGGAATAAGAGAAGAGGAAGAGGAGGAGGAAGAGCAGTTTCACAGAAGAGAACACACGAAGGAATTCATTCCATGGTAGCAGCAGATGAACAACAGACAAGTGGTAAGGAATTAATCATGTCCAGTCCTGCAAACCATGGAATATCCAATGTTATGGGAAGGAGAAAAGGCCTGTCAATCAACCTACAAACCAGAGCAGCAAACAAAATCATGTATAATATCAAACCCTTCTTAACTATGACCTTAAGTGAAAGGGCTTTGATCTGCAGATTAAAAGACAAAGACTGAATGATTGGACAAAATTAAAAAAACAAACAAACAAAAACAAAAACAAAAAAACCAAGCTCTAGCTGCTGGATAAGCAGCCCAGGTGGTTAAGAATACTTGTTACTCTTCCAGAGTTTGGGGGTTACCACTGCATTGATGTCAGGCAACTCACAATCATGTGCACCTCCAGCTCCAGGAGACCCAAAGCCCTCTTTAGCTTCTTTGGGAAAATGCATTCACACACACACACACACACACACACACACATAAACATAAAAAAAAATAAGAAAATTAATCTTTAAACCCAGAAATTCTGGATTTGTTCAACAAGCATCTTTGGAGGAACACTTCAGAACAGGCAGGACATTTCTGAACAAAATCCCACTATCGTGGGAATTGATCCCAAACATTCCAAATGAGATCACACAAAACTAAAATGCTTCTGCACACTGATAGAAACTAGTCACAGAGTGAACACACAGCCTACAGGATGGGAGAAACATACTTGCCAGCTGTACCTAAGAACATAATATCCAAGAAATAAAGAACTATAAAAAATAAACATAAAAAAGAACACCAACAAAACTATGAATCCATAAATGGGCCAATGAACTGAACAGTCAATTCTCAAAAGTACAAAAGACCAAAAAATAATTTTGAAAGTGTTCAGCATCCTTAGCCATCAGAGAAATGTAAATTAAAACTACTTTGAAATTGATTGAGCCCACCAGTGCTGATTGGAGTAAGAGGTAAATCTTTGTCTAGGTTGTCCCCAGGGGCACAACCCTGTGCTCCCACACCACCAACCATTGCAGTCCCAGTTTCAGGCCAGTAGGCAGGCCTCCTACAGACAGGGCAGAATACCACCATCTCCCATTAGACCCTGTAACCCACAAGCCCCACCCCTCCCAAACCAACCCACCCTTCAAGTCTATAGCTACTCCCTCAGACAGAGCCTACCAGCGCTAATTGGACTAAGAGCTGCTCCCTGAGACAAAGGTCCATCAGCACCGATTAGGCCAAGAATCCTGACTAGACCAAGAGCTCCCACTGGACCAAGAGTATGGATCAGACCAAGAGAGGCTCCCTCAGACACAGACACCGCTTGTACCAAGTGGAGACAGAGATGGGTAGATGCCAGTGCAAAAATACAGTCAACAACATAAAAACCAATATGGCTCTATCAGAACCTACATCAGCAAGACCTGAACATCCCAACACAGAAGAAACAGAAGATATTGACCATAAAAATGACTTTAAGAAGATGATAGAGGTCTTTAAAGAGG